TTTTTTAGTTATGTATATATGACATTTTTAAAGGTTTTTATCATTGCACAAAATACTAGAATGAAGAATGCCGCGCAGTACTTTTTTAGTGTAAATTTAAATTTATCTAAAAATTACAAAATTATCGTTAACATAGGATAAAAAAAGCTAGAGTAAAGGCAATTAACCCGTGAATTAAATGTCAGTCAACGTGTACGATACAAATAGACACAAAAGAATACAATGGAATTAGGGCAGAAACTCGTAAAGAAGTTGAAACGCGTAACAGCCATACTTTACTTTAGTACGATGCTCCGGATATCGACATTGATTCTTCACAAATCCCTTTCCAGTAAGTCACTTCCTCTTGCTTTAAAAATTCCCTAAACTAAATTAAAGACAGATATCCCGAATGTTTGATCGAAAGATTCAGTAAATGTGCTCGGAAAGTCAGGAAATTCACCGAAAAGTTTGATATGGTGTAATAGAAGCGGCCATCTTGAATCAAGCCAGGAATTCCAAATATGGTGTCAAAACTCCTAATTTCCTAAAAAAATCCTAATCGATTAACTATGTTCAAAGCTAATTAGCCGCCATCTCAGATTCCGGAGCATGGCAATTTGCATTAGGGTATGCACCGTACACTTTTTTCGTCTTTGTTTATGGCGCGACCGTGAGTTTCTAACGCGGTCTAAACATCAGGTTCTTGCGGGTAAATTTGGCAGCTGTAAGGCAACCGTTGCATCTTTACATTCCTGAAGTCCCGTGCATACATTCCTGACGTAGGGCGGCAAACATGTTTCCGATGTTTCATGACAGTTTTGCCACCTTTGGAAACATTTAAGAAAACATGTTTCTGGAAACATGTTTTCTCGTTTTTAGCCAGGGCCTTAATCGATTAACTATGTTCAAAGCTAATTAGCCGCCATACGCCAAGAATGTATGCACGGGACTTCAGGAATGTAAAGTCAAGCCGCCAAAAATGTAACGGTTGCCCCTAAAAACGTCAAGATTTTTTCTTGGAAACCTGTTGTTCAGATGTTAGAAACACAGCATTGTCGCCCCACAACCAAAGACGAAAAAAGTGAATGGTGCATACTCTAATGCAAATAGCTGTATAGCGTTACACGTGCCAACCCCTTTATGAGTTTTTGATTAGGGTCTAATAATGTGTATTAGTGTAATATCTATTTCACGGGTTTAGTGACTTCACTCCATTATTAAACTGATACGGGCATTATGCTAAGTTATCTCAATTTAAAATATTTTTAATTTGTAATAAAATTATATATTATTTTAAAGGTGTAAAAAAAGGTTGTTTTGGGGTTGGGCGGCAGGGGAGGGTGTCGTTTTGCTTGCCACGCATACTATGCTCCATCTACCCAGTGTGTTTAACATCACCATAGAATCGGGCATTGTCACGATAGAAATAAGCGCATGATGTTACACATCACTACAGAAACAAGCGCAACATGTTACATGTCACCATAGAAACAACCTCAACATGTTACACATCACCATAGAAACAACCTCAACATGTTACATATCACCATAGAAACAACCTCAACATGTTATACATCACCATAGAAACAACCTCAACATGTTACATATCACCATAGAAACAACCTCAACATGTTACACATCACCATAGAAACAAGCGCAACATGTTACATGTCACCATAGAAACACGCAACGTGTTACATGTCACCATAGAAACAAGCGCAACGTGTTTCATGTCACCATAGAAACAAACGCAACGTGTTACATGTCACCATAGAAACAAGCGCAACGTGTTATATGTCACCATAGAAACAAGCGGAACGTGTTACATGTTACCACAGAAACAAGCGCAACGTGTTACATATCACCATAGAAACAAGTGCTTTCATTTCTTCATATATGCATTGCATTTAATTATTTGCATAACTTTATTCATGACAATCATCTAAGTTCCTAAGCTATCATGGAAGGGGTAAGCACAACAGAGCTTGGCTCCAAATTAAGTGCACCCTAACAAAAATTTAAATCATAATAACAACAACAAAATACGAATAATGATAAACTCTAAGTGAAAAAAGCGAGTGAAGATTTACCAATYATACTTAGATGATAGTAGCTAATTTAAAGGCTAAGAGTATGGCAAAAAGTAGTCCGATCTATTCATCGATTATATCTTATATAAGTAATTCTAAATTAAGAGGCAGTATAAGATAATATCAGTAGTATATCTAGGATTTTGTAATCATAATTAATATTAGTTCATTAAAGTTCATTGGTTTTCATTGTTCTGCGAAGTAGACTGGATACAGACTAATTAAATTAGAAGCAGCAACGTTTTTTGGAGAGGATATCACGTGGTGAGCAGCACTTAGGACAGATGGACTTCCATGTGATTACATTGTATTTTATAAGCTCACCATTCCTCCATCTCGACCTTATGCCTTCTCTACTATAGCTTGCTAGCATCTAAAAATAGTTCAACAGAGTATTTACACAACAGCATTCTGACTTTCATGGCCAGGGTCAGTACTGACACCATGATGGTCTGTATTACTTTCTGTGTCTCCATCATTCCCATGAGACTGTTCAATCAACTCTTGCCTATCGTCTGTCACATATCGTTGGTTCCAACATGTCCTCCATCCTATTCTTGTCATGGTGTACATTGCTTTACCCAAGAATACTGCTCCGAGGATGAAGAAGAAACTGCCATATACTACAAACTACAAAAATTAAACATTAATCTTAGGGTTGTAGTTCAAACAGTCAGTAATGTTTTTATGGGTCTGAAATGGTTGGAAGGCCGACTAATTCAATCAACAAGTTGGTACTGTGATTGAGTGGGCTGGCTGTGCCATTGATTTATTGAGTGAGGCTGGATTGAGTAGCTGGATTGCTATGTAATGAAGATTTCATCAGAACAAAATTTCAATTTTTTTTGATCATTTTTTTTTTTTCAGTTTTGCTTTGTTATAAAAGCAATGTTCAATGCTTAGTTGTGTGTATATCAAGTTCTGGATGGACTTGGGAGGTTGCTTAAACACTCAAGAAGCTAGAGCTGCACTTTTGTGACTCATCGTACACTTCTTGAGTGCTTAAGCAACCTCCCAAGTCCATCCAGAACTGGATATACGTAAGCTAAATGATTGGTAGGTTCGCTTGGGTTGTGTAGGTTACCAAGTGAGAAGGTTGCTAAGCCAATCAGCATAAGTCATTTCAACTAATGTACATGCTTGAATTACATGCCGAGCAGTTTTCGAACTAGCTCGGTCATAACGTGGCAATGCATATGCCAAACTAATCATATATTGAGCATGAATTCACTCTCCATCTGATCAAATACTTGAAACACGTGCAGACTGGGTCACACCAAGGTCACAGCACTGTCTAAGTACACCAAACCAATCAAAGTGTGCGAGAAAAAAATCAAAATTTTAGAAAACACCATGGTCACCACAAGGAATGCATATGGCACCAATCTCTTCACAGTCATGCGAAAACTGCTCTCATCATGTACTGTATGACTGCATGTCACTACTGACTAAATATATGTTATACTACTGGGTTACCTGTGTTATTATATCTAGTGACAGTCCTCTCTCATCCACCACTATAACAGTGAGAATAGTCTGTAATAGTAGAGCGACAAACATGTTGCACCCAAACACAAGTGCATACCTGTCCATACCAACATTCTTTGCGATCTGGAAACTAGAAGAAAAAGTCATTTCTAAAAATGTATGACTGGGATACCTGTGGCAGAGGAAAAATATAATCTAGGGGATAACAATAGCTCAGAAGCTGGGAGTAGGAATGTTTTTTTTCACTGCAGGCAGAGAATTGGGGAATTTGCAGCAGATATAAGTCTGCCTTCTAAATGAACCTAGTTAAATGGACACCTTACAATATGGAGCATTGATGAGTACACCCATGATAAAAAAATCTACCCTTCCTATAAATAAAGTGACCTACCTTGCAATGGTAACCAAAAATGTGTATGCCATTCTAAAGAGAATGTACATCAAGTATGCCAACCATATGCTAGAAGTATGAGCACTGATGTACAGAAAGAATGCATCTGCGACACTGACCACGCCAAGAACCAGCTCACCAAACACTGACCAGTTTACCTTGAGGTAGCCTAACAGAAGAGCAACAGAAGCACCAAAAACGTTAGATAAGGCAGTGACACCACCATTGTAAATCTTCTTGTGCTTGCGTGCGGAATAAATGTCGTCCCAGAGATTTTGGACATAATTTTCGACCATGAATTCACCACATGTGCCAAAGGCCCACCATAGAGACCATTTTAACAGCTCGTTTTTGGAATAACACTCCTTGAAATCACGCCACATCAAGCGTAATGATAATTTCCAGGAACTGAAACATTTAAGGAAGCAGTTGGCAGCATTTTCGGTTGCTATGGAACTATCATCACTGTGATTGGTAGCTCCATAAACTTGCACTTCACTTTGATTTTCTCCAGGTTTGACAATACCGAACACGTTTCCGCTTGCTGATGGCAAGATGAAGGTAATAACCAGTGCAATACAAACACTTGTCATGGAAATATAGTTCAATGTGAGGTAATCTGTAACACTGAGTGAGATGAGCAGTTGACCTACCACCCCAGACATCATCCTACCAGCCAGCACTGCTGCTCTCGTAAAGCCAGTAACTCGAAGATAATGCTCTGCCTCTACAACTGCGTATATATACGAGTAATAAGCAACCTCTGCTCCTGTAGCTACACCATAAGCAAACTGCATGAACTGCATTGCACGCACACTTGTCGCCCATATTAATAAAACCCTCGTTGTCAAATACGCCAAACCTTCGACAACGATGACAGGCTTGTACCTTAAAACATCAGTGAAAAGAAAAACCAAGAATAGAGCTACGAGATAGGAGTACGTCCACACGGGATAAACCTCGTTTTCGAGCTGTTTGTCGGTGAAGTTTTTCGGAGGTGCTTTGAGATAAGGAGTCAAGAATGGCTCAGAGGGCTTCATCTCTTTGAAGAATCCATAAAGACAGAGAAGAAGAGTTGCTTTTTGCCAGAACTCCAGACGAGGCGCCATGCTTTCAGTATTCTAAATCATGTGACTCATGTGACTCTAGAGGACTATTCAAGTTAAACTTGTTTGGATTTTTGTGGTTTTTTTTGTTGACCTTTTACGTCTTTTTTCTTTTCCTTTTGTCCGCCATGTTGGAATGATTATGAGCCCTTGATTCTTCCGGTTAACTCCCTTGGGGGTAGAGGACAAATCATTCCAAATTCTTTTTTCTAATTAATATATGGAGATACATCAAAATAATTACTAGGAGATATAATAAACTAAATAAACCTTATTTAGCCTTTTTAAAGATAACAAATGTTCATTGTTGAGTTTTTGAATATGTTTTTTTATATCATACAAAAAGTCTTTCCCCTCCCCCGTGAGTATTGTATTGTCACTAGTCTGTTATTCTGAATGTTTTGCTTCGATCGACAAGAGCTTGTTTTTCTCGACCAAAGATGGCAAAAACTTGTTCAATCTTCCCCGATAACCCCGATTACTGTGTAAGTACATCCACAAAGGCCTTCTTTAATGTCTCTTTTAAGATTAAACTCAAATGTATATATTTTCTTTTTGACAGACGACGATTGTCGTTCTAAAGCGACTTGTAGCTGCTCTTTCGATGGTTGGCTGGTAGGCATTTTGACATTTTCTCTCTGTTTTCTTTTCGTTTTTCTCCTTTAAAATAACTCAGAAAATCCTACAAGCCTTAGCATTCTATAGATTAAGACCATAGCGACTCAAAACCAGCAAAATATTAGTTTTTCTAACGTTTTTCTAAAGACGAGAAAGATCTCACTAATGCATACTGTAAACTCATAAAGATGTCTTCTGACTTAAATTCCGACTTTTTAATCAAAGATAAAATCAAAATAATTCAAAATTCTAGTTTCCTTTAACTTTAATGCGTGTTTTATTTTCATATTTAGTAATTTTTTAGTRTAAAGTTGTGAAATTAAGAACAGTACAGTAAGCTGCTTTTGTCAATCTGCACAATGTTTGAGGCAAAACCACATCAGATCAAAAACCAAAATCTTTCTTGTGGTAAAAACTATACTCCAAATTCTGATGCTTAAAGATTATCATCAAAACCTAGAAAGCCATACCCCTAAATATTTATTCATAACTTAACCTATAAACCATTAAAAATACATTGTGAAAGTTTATTTATGTTATTAATAATACTGTATTCTAACATTCATGAAGTTACAATTATCGTGTATTTTTATTTTACAGCTTGTTTATCATCTTCATTATTTGGCTGTTCAAAAAGTACAAATATTTTGTACAGGTGAGTCTAGGGAATATTTTTGGAACATTAATCATCATTTGCCCTGAAATAGAGGGCTCCTTCTTTGGGTAAATGACACAGTTTACATAATTCGATAAAAACAACAAAAGACCCCAAGCTTTACAATACATGTAGAACCAGGTTAACGAAGAATCAATAGGTTTGTGGTACATGCAGAAGGACCCAAATAGAGTCATTAATAGCAATCTTAAGCTTTTCAAAATCTACAATGACCCGAAGTGTAAGTAACTTCACTTTAGGGTTTTGCGCCCTCAAAGTCAGTCTTCCCTGTGGATGAGTTGATCTTACTGACAATTTTGAACAAAATCTCCAATGAACAGAACCTCAAAGAGCAATTATTTACACTTCCAGTTGACGTTGCCATCGTAGATTTTGTAAACTTAAGGTTGCTAATGATCCTTGCTTGTCACATCTTGTAGCTGTTGATGAATGATGTAACTGTGTTACTTATTAAAATAATGATATTGTTGTAGAGACTTATATTGGCATTGAGTGTAGCAGCATTTCTTGACTCTATTGCTTACATGATGGTGAGTAGATGTCATCATAAGTATCATTATATCTGTTCATCACTGTCATAATCATCATCACTATCTCTACTCAAGTCATCATAATCATCATTGTGCATGGCAGTCATTATGACTGTTGCCATGTGCATAACTATCGCCATGCATGTTGCTATATACAGTATAATATGTACTTATTGGCTGAGTGGGAGGGCTGTACAGGAAAATATTTGGCTCGAGGTGATGCCATACGGACCGAGCGCAGCGAGGTCCGTACAAATGACCGAGAGCCAAATATTTTCCCGTACGGTCCGACCTAACTCAGTCAATAAGCATTTTATCATATGACCCTAAATAAAAAAGATATTATTTTTAAAAGTTGCAAATTATGTCAATACTGTTGCAGGTTTCTGTGAGCAGGGCCATACGGATTCGTACCGCCCTGCTCACTCAAAGCTRTACAGCCCTGCTCATGTCATTTTCCTGAAGGTTTTTTAAGAGCATGCGCCCCAGCAGAGACGGGTCATATGATAACTATCGCATATTATCATTGTCATATTATCATCATCATCATCACTACTACAACCACCACCCATGATCATGTATCATCACATTGCCATTCTTCATTGCATTTTTTTTACATTTCTTTCAGGGAGAGTTGCACCCCGAGGAAGGAACAGCTTGTACATTCCAAGCATGGTGGCTCTCATTTTTTGGTATAATTAACAAATAGACATCAGTTTTTTATGTGTCTGTCCTCTTATTGACAATAAATTGCGTCATCACATTAATTGTTAAAGTAGTGTGGATCCACAAGGTGTAATAAGAACTTCCCATTTTTAGTGATCAAAACAACCAACGGAAAGAGCGCGCGCTYGTTGACGTCAGCTTTATCTGTCTGTCCTCTTATTGATGATAAAAAATAACCAATTAGTGCGCGAGAAATTTGTAAGTTATTATAAAATATAGTATGCTTTATAATATGAACTTTAGGAGCAGTGCCAAAAGCATCATGACATTATAAAAATAACAACACCATTGATACAATAACTTATATGGCAGAGGAAAGACAATGTTCTTTAGATACGAACCTCTTACTAAAGTGGGGCCAAGATTGTTTAGGACCATATTACAAAATGACTTTGTAAGCTCACAGCCACTGTACTTAGCTGTAACCCCTAATTCTATGTACTTATTGACTGAGTGGGAGGGCCGTACGGGAAAATATTTGGCTCGAGGTCATGTCATACAAATGACCAAGAGCCAAATATTTTCCCGTACGGCCCGACCTAACTCAGTCAATAAGCATTTTATCATATGACCCTCACGAAAATAAAAATAATTAAGAAAAAGAAATTGCGCGGATTCGAGCAGGGCCGGATGGGTTTTTCCGTCCCGCTTACGTCAACCCGTGCGGTCCCCATCACGTGACTTTTTCTAATGGTTTTATTAGAGCGCGTGAGCAGGGCCGTACGGGTCATATGATAATAATAATTATAACCTCACCTACCGTATTGTCAAACCTCTTAGAAATGTATTGTTTTCAAAGATTATTATTGTAAAACCATTTCTATTCTTACCTTACCCATTACAGAGTTCTCTATGCTAATCTGGGTGACCTGCATCACATTCAACTTGTACTGGAATGCCATCAAGAAAACCAGAACTGAAAAATTTGAGAAGTAAGCCATGCATTTGTCTCGGTCTCAGAAGATCAAATAAAGATCTTAGCCCGGTTGTACGAAGAGTGGATATCCAATGGATAAGTCRATGTTACAATCCAGTAAATTTATCCACAGCTGGATAAGATTTATCCATCAGATAGCGCTATCAATTCTTCGATATACATCAACCTGCTGCCTTGCTGTGTATGTTTTGCTAGGATTAATTTTGGTAGTATGTGATGGGATTTTAATCTGATTCATATCATAGACCTCCTTAGCTTGTGCATAATATTTTCCTATTTCAGACCTTGTGTCATTCTCTTGAGAATTGATTGTGTAGTTCCAAAAATTACCCATACACCCCTCACAGAGTAATTTTTTTAAGACACCCCCCTACCCCCCGGAAATTCCAATTTTCTTCCATACAAACTCTGTAATTTTTGTTCTTTCTCTGACCCCCCCTACTCTTCAGAAATTCCAAATTCCTCTGTTGGGTGGGTATGGATGATTTCTGGAACTACACATTCTTTGTTTGAGTTGTATCCATATTTGTGTTTAACCATGCACAACCGTTAAGCAAAAAAGTGCTACTCTAGGGAATGACAACACATGGTCTGCAATGAGAAAACACTTGAGTTGCCCAAGGTAGAAAGGTCTGTACAGCCCCTCATTTCTTTATTACAATAACTTCTCCTTGAAAATTGGCCATTACCTGTAATATCAATGATGAAAAAAGGGGCCCAACCATCAGAACCTCTATGTTCTTCTCTCCAACCTTGTTAATAGTATAAGAGTAAATGGTTGAACCCAGGTGTTGAAGTTTGTTGTGAAATGTGACTGTCCGGGTGAGCATAGTCTTGAGAAAGACAGTCACTACCAACAATAGTCTTTCTCAAGACTACACAAAACCCAGACAATCACATTCCACACCAACCATGTTAATGGTATTGCAACACTAAGGTTTCTCCATGGTATATGTTTAAAGGTAAGATGTTCTTTCTTTTTAGGTGGTACCATCTGTGTTCATGGGGGATAGCATTAGTAATGTCTTGTCTTCCGTTCATTAATAATCATTATGGACCAGCTGGGGCATGGTGGTGAGTATCTAAATRATTATTTAGATATTATGAGGTAATGGTTTATGGGTGTCAACATAAGTATAAATGATGTTGATGGTGATGATAAAGATGCTGATGGTGATGGTTGTGGTGGTTTTGGAATAGGTGCTGCCTGCTGATGCTGATGCTGATGCTAGTGATAAMGTTGCTGAGTGTGGTGTTGATGATAATGATGGTGATAATGCTGATGATGGTGACGATGATGATAATGAAGATGATGTTGAAGATAGTGATTATTGAAGATTAAAATGGTGATAATGGTGATGAAGATGATGATGATGATAATGGTGTTCATGATGGTGATGAAGATGATGATGTTAATGATGATGATAAAGAAGATGTCAGTACTGGTGATGAAAATGATGCTAATTATGACTGTTTATTCGCATTTCTTAATCAAAGCTGGATCAAAGAGAACAGTCCCAATAGTGTTGTATGGCGGTTTATGACGTAAGTACTGAAAAACGACATTCTTTCATCAGACCAATGAACTTGGAATGAGATAAAACCAGTTTGGTTTCGAAAAAAAATCAACACAAGCTAAATATTTTTCGTATTTTCGCTCAGTTGGTATGTGCCATTGTTTGTCATCGTCATTGCCTTATACGCAGTCTATGCTTACATCTTCATCGTCTACAGAAGGCAGGTTAGTTTTATCCCTCTACCTGTCTAAGAGCATTGACGTGTTTCCCCAATAGGCCTTTGGCAACAACAGGGCACATGACCCTACCCCCCATAAAAAGAGACGTTGTGTAAGAATGAACACCAGAAATCAAAAGAGCACCTCGACATTAGTAAGAAGGCTAGGTTTCAGCTTATAACATGTAACACAGGAGAAACGGCTTTAAATATATATATACACCTATTTCAGAAATCGTTGTCGCACCAAAAGCCTTAAGCAACAAGCCAATACCGCAGAGAACGCCGGTACTTTTAGCTGTAATTAGTTTATTCATGGTGCATTTTCATTTATTGACTTCACAAATTGCTCCAAGCAAGGCTGCTTCAAATGGAGAGCTATAACCACTTGAATGAACCATGAATAAATCAATTATAATTAAAAGTATCGACGTTCTCTGGAACCTTGGCTGGTTACTGGAGGATCTTGGTGCAACAACGATTTTCGAAATAAGTGTATATGGCAAAGCTTGCCATCCAGCACATTTTCCCATGCAAATCCTTATAAAATATTTGATTATATATTCAATGCCATTTCTCCTATAGTCAACATCATAAACTAAAACTTTGCCTTCTTAATAATATTGAGGTGCTCTTTCGATTTCTGGTGTTCATTTCAACTTATCATTTCTTTTTACGGGTTGTAGGGTCACATGACCTGTTGTTGCAAAAGCGAGCCTATTATTCTTATTAGGGAGTAGCAGTAGGTTTATAGTTCCTCTTACAACATATTTCTGTGTATCTTTTTCCTTCTGTAGTCTAAAGCTTGGGCTGGGACGTATAACGCCGAAGAAGAGAGAAACAGAGTAAGTGGTGAAAGACTTCCTCATCGTGAATAACACACGCCTAACACGTGACGTTAAAGAGGCTCAATTTGGAGGACAAAACAAATGAATTTAAATCTCCTGAGAATTGGAAACCTATTGTTTTGCTGTTTTTTCTTCAAATTGAGCTGCATTCCGAAGTGCCTAATAGTGATAGTGGTGATGATTTTATCAGTGCTGTTGGTGGTGATGAAAATGAAAATTATGTTGATGATTATGACAATGTTCCACTATATTTGAATGACAATCAATAAAACAGTATATAAGTTAACATCACAGACCAATTATCCTTGTCTTTATTGATCTCCAAAGGCCTTGTTGATGGAAAACGTAAAACCATTGATGGCATATCCATGCATCTATCTGGTCACATCCATATTCCCTCTAATACACAGGTAAAGATCATTTTTTAGTATAATTTTTAGGCTTAAATGTATAGAGTTTTCGCAATGCGGTGATTGGTCGAGCGACCAGTGATTCTGAGACGATAATCACTGCTCGAGCCGTTGTTACGAGGTTTTCAAAAGCTTGCCAGTGCGATAATAATACTAAAACGCTTTTTTATCCTGAATTTCGACTTTTGTCTGATATTCAAGCCTAAAATCATAATAAAACAATAGGCCCTTTGCAGTTAACGGTCACGTGTCTGTACTCGTGAGCAAAATCTTTTATTTTATCTTAAATTGGTGATTCTTTTTAGCTATTTGTGAAGAACTGAATGAAACGATGTGCAACCAGTGTGTTACGAAATGCAATTTTTTATTACGATCTCTCGAAACAGGTTGTAGAAATTTTGTTTGCTCACCAGTATATTTCACCCATGGGAATCAAGATGTTTATTCATTTGCTCTCAGTGAATTAATCAGTACGTGATTACTATTATTTAGGCTCAGTGATTATGAGGAATATTTACTTCGCTGCTCGAAGACTCCTGGCTCCGTAAATCTTCATCGATAATCACTTGGCCTTCGGCGAATAATTGTTAACTCATATAACAGAAGTAGCGCAAAATACCTCAGTAATCGAAGACAATTTTGAGTGCTTACCATATTATATAAACAATCCATCAAGTTGGAAATTCGTTTGCTAATACGGTTTGAAAAAGGGCGGGAAATTTTGGCTTCCGAAAGATGGTACGCGCGTCTACCAGAAGAACCGAAAAGAGCGGGAAAAGTTCAGTACCTCGATCATAAGACCGAGTTTCTCGAAATTTTTTGACCTGAATGATATTCACCATTTGTTTTTCCAACCTATATTTCCGGTTTTTCTGGTAAATGGTAAGCAACCCTTGCTCATCCAAATTAATTTTTAAAATCAAACCTGCAGAATCACTGAAATAGTTTATTTCGAATTTCAGGACGTGTTTTTTTTTTTAATTGTTATTATTTACTCTCAACGCAGGCAGCGTTCGGCGTGAAACGTTAATTTTCACAATGTGCATCAAAAACCACAAAGCGCTCTGGAAAACCGAGTATTGCAAAAATGGAACAGGGAAATCAAAGGAACTATTCAGGGGGAAATTACTCTGCTATTTTCGTCTTTTGAAACACTTACCTTTCCACAGAAAATGTAGTCTTCTACGCAGCCACTATTAGTGTAGTACTCGGTTAACCATCATTATTTGTGATAGAGTTTCGTGTTTGGCACATTGACTACTCTGCCATCTTCAATGGTTTCGGCAACGCTACGAGCTGATTACTTGTGTCGTAAAAAATATAGTTACATAAGGGGCCGTTCATTTCTACGCACATGGGGGAGGGGGGGGGGGGATTTTGTGAATTGTAAGTTAAAACAATGTATGACTCCTTTCCAACCTGCATTTCCTTCAACGTGCCCCCTATTAAAACAGGATATATTTTTTAGATAAATTTTATATTTTACTAATTATTTGTGGGGCGCGTAAAAAAGCCTTATTACCTCGAATGTTTTATATGATAATCTTTTCGCTGACTCATACAGAACTCTTTGAATATCTCTTTTTGCAGGATCTATAACGCTTCCCACAGCACACCAAATTTTCCGCTTCTTCTTCTTCATGTCATTTCCAACCCTATCGTTGGTAAGTAGTCCTGGAAATAAACTGAAAATGATGCTGAAATAAATTTAGTGCATCGGTATCTGCTTCGAGGCGACATTCTGTATGATGTAAAGATCTTCCTGATTTTGATGAGTTTTTAGTACGTAGTCATGGTAACAAAAGTGTCGTTTCAGGCGCCCTTAATGCTATCGTGTTTGGTATGGACAAGGAAACATTTAGCCGACTCAACTTACCGCAAATGARGGTAAGAAAGCTGAACGATAAAACGACTGACCGATTGTGACCGACTGACTTATTGACCTAATTGACCGACCGATCAATGAACGAACGGACCGACCGACACTCCGACCGACTGATAATTTATTTGAGTTTTAATATGAATATTGAATATACAAGTGACGTCATAAAATAAAGTACGTTGTATACTTATGACGTCATTAACTAATATACTTTCTTATAACGCAAGGCTTTGTACCAATCAAAATACCCCATTCCAATTGATTTTATTGCCTGTAAAGTGGCTATAACCCCTGATATTTTCATTGAGTTAGTGTCTTCAGGTTCATTAACATATTGAAGTATAAACCTTCGTAACTTGAATGCACAATAAAGAAATATTTCTCACCATCAACTATTCACTTCATGTAGAATCAAAACTGAAAGTATTGTATCATATATTATAGGCACTTTAAATCATTTTTTGCTTCTTTTTTTTTTTTTTTTTTTTTTTTTTTTTTTTTTGCCCAAGGTCGCGCTTGCACAACACTCTAGAGCAAGAAAACCGCTAGTCAGGGAATACCTCGTTGGCGACACAACCGAAGTGCGACCAAACGACGACTCCTCATGGTCATCCTCGTCAACTGATGGAGGACAGGCAGTCCGTACCGCCACCCCACAGGGGACAGATTTACCTTCAGGAGATCAGGCAGCATCTACACAAGTTTCTACAAGTAACATTGAAGCTAATAAGAAAGACTGAGGGAGGGGAGGGGGAGAACACTTTGTCAGTTGTTTCAGAGTGCTGATGTAACATATAGTTAATAATGACGTCATAGCTTCTTGTCGCCACACAATTCTCTCCATCAGCGCAATATTAACAAATAATGCCAATGCTTTCTGAGCATGCGCATAGCATATTCATTCCGGTTCGCATGCAATCTCGTATCCAGAGCCTGCATTTCTTCTGGCCTGCGGCGAAGAACGAGGGCTCTGGCATAATCCTTTTTTTTTTTGAGACCAGCGYATGCGTTCAAAGACTTGCCAAAAGTTAAAAAATATCTTCCCGATTTCTGATTTTTACTTTGATTTTTACTTTGAATTTTACTTTGATTTAATACAGTATATATATTTTCTAAAATTGCATATGCGCCAAAATTTGTATTATGCCAAAGTCATCGTTCTTCGCCGCAGACCAGAAGAAACGCAGGCTCTGGATACGAGATGGATTCGCATGTGAACTTGTCACGAATGAAAAACGTCTGCGCATGCTCCAAGTCCGTATGCAAATCAGTCTTCGAGCTATCGTAGAAATATCAAAACGTCTTCGAGCTATCGTAGAAATATGTATATTTGACTTTCAAACATGTCTGACAAATGGACTTTACAAAATGCCAAAACCTAGAGCCAGTGCTCAAAACTTAACGTATACTTGGAGAAAACGAACATTCATTTTCTCACTAAAACTCTTTTAAATTCTTAGAAAACGTGCTGAAAGGAGCGCATGCGCACATTGTTATCCTAGTGCCTGATATTTACATTTGATACAATATGTAGTATTGTCGTGTGATGCTATAGTTTTGGATGTCAATGGCAGCACTGACAGCACTGTTTTTTCAGAGTAGAAATTAACCATTTGCGAATCAACGTACCATAGGTTCAAGACACACAAATCCTGCCCTGTTCATAAAGCGATATTTTCCTAATACAAACACGAGCGCCGTGAATAATGAAAGTTTCTTGCATTAACTAGAGAGTTAAGGCCCTGTTACACGTTGAAACTTTTATGTGAAACTTGTGTGCAGCGGCATTGGGAGACAAGTTTTACAGGGGTGCTACACGGCGCAATTTCGTCCTGAAACTTGTTCGCGACACAAGTTTCGGTTGCAGAAGTAGAAAGCAGTTCTACTTTTCGTGAAACTTTCTCGCGACGAAAGTTTCACAAAGCTGGGGTGTTACACGCTTCAATTGCTTCTGAAACTTGTCTCGCAACGCTGTTGCACACACGTTTCACCCAAAAGTTTCAACGTGTAACAGGGCCTTTATTCATCCATCGCCAAAGTTATCGTTGATTGGTGCGTCCCGTAATACATTACGTCATTGCACGCTTCATTGAATTCCGCCCATATCCTCACCTCTACTTATTCGTGCACACCACTAAAACAAGATAAACAAATATTATTGAATTAAAAACTTTTAATCGAAGTATTATGATCATCCGGGTGAATGTAGTCCTGAGAAGGACTGTTTGATGTGACTGACGTTTCGACAACCTTAAATTCGAATTAAAAACTAATAAAAAGCTAAGCAAGTTAGAAATGAAACCTACCTCATATGATTTCTGATTGAAGTCGACATATTTCGTAATGACCTCCGCATGATGACGTAATTGAATTAGTCTTTAGTTTGGGGGGGGGGGGGGGGGGGGAAAAAATTTTATGTAAACAAGACGCCCTATAGGCGTTCACTGGGTTGCCTGTATCATGCACAGGGACCTTGTACAGCTGAAGAAGTTTGCAAAGTTT